CATTATGATATTGGCTGATCTGTTTACAATACCCTTCCTAATAATCCCCAGCATAGCATTGGCCTTCTTTATTGCAGTCACACACTGTCTCGACATTTTCAGTGAGTTATCTACTACAACTCCAAGATCTCTCTCTTGATCAGTCTCTGCCAGTTCAGACCCCATCAACGTGTATTTATAGTTAGGATTTTTGGCTCCAATGTGCATCACCTTGCACTTGGCCACATTGAACCCCATTTGCCATGTTGACGCCCACTCGCCCAACTTTGACAGATCCCTTTGGAGTGCCTCACAATCCTCACTGGTTTTCACCACCCTGAACAACTTCGTATCATCCGCAAATTTAGCCACTTCACTGCTTACTCCCATCTCCAAATCATTAATGAACAAGTTAAAAAGCAGTGGACCAAGTACTGATCCCTGTGGTACCCCACTGCTTACACCCCTCCACTGGGAGAACTGCCCATTTATACTCACTCTCTGTTTTCTATTAATTAGCCAGTTTTTGATCCATAAAAGGACTTGTCCTTTTATCCCATGATTTTTGAGCTTGCTTAGGAGCCTTTGATGAGGAACTTTATCAAAAGCTTTCTGGAAGTCAAGGTAAACAATATCTATTGGATCCCCCTTGTCCACATGTTTGTTCACCCCCTCAAAGAACACTAACAGGTTAGTGAGACAAGATCTTCCCTTACAGAACCCATGTTGAGTCTGCCTCAATAGGTTTTGTTCATCTATGTGCCTACTAATTCTTTCCTTAATAATGGTTTCCACCAATTTACCCGGTATCGACGTCAGACTGACTGGCCTGTAATTTCCCGGATCTCCTCTGGAACCCTTTTTAAAGATGGGAGTGACATTAGCTACCTTCCAGTCCTCAGGAATGGAGGCTGATTTTAAGGAGAGATTACATATTTTTGTCAGGAGATCCACAAGTTCACAATTGAGTTCTTTCAGAACTCTTGGATGTATGCCATCTGGGCCTGGTGATTTATCAGTTTTTAAGTTGTTTATCAGTTTTAGGACCTCCTCTCTCGTCACCTCAATCTGACTCAGGTCTTTCAACACCCCTCCCGAACTCAGCGGCTCTGGAGTGGGCAAGCACCTCTCATCTTCCACAGTGAAGACGGAGGCAAAAAATGCATTTAGCTTCTCAGCCATTTCCCTATCATCCTTCAGTACTCCTTTTACCCCTTGGTCATCCAAGGGCCCCACTGCCTCCCTGGCTGGTTTCCTGTTTCTAATGTATTTGAAGAAAGTTTTATTGTTGGTCTTTACATTTTTTGCTATATGCTCCTCATATTCCCTTTTTGCATGCCTGACCACAGACTTGCATTTTATTTGCCATAGCCTGTGTTCTGTTTTATCAGCCTCACTGTGACTAGCTTTCCACCGCTTAAAGGAATCCTTTTTACCTTTTACAGCTTCCATTACTTTGTTTGTTAACCATGCAGGCTTTTTCCTATACCCGTTTGTGCCTTTCCTAACCTGCGGAATATATTTTTTTGAGCTTCTAGAATCGTAGTTTTAAATAGTTTCCAAGCTTCCCCAATGGTTTTGACCCTTTCTACTTTTCCCTTCAGTTTCCTCCCCACATAACTCACTGAAGATGTCAACTCAGTATGTAACTGCAATAAAAAAGGCAAATGCAGTGCTGGGGATTATTAGGAAGGGGATTGAAAACAAATCAGCCAGTATCATAATGCCCCTGTATAAACCTATGGTGATACCTCATTTGGACTGCTATGTACAGTTCTGGTCACTGCACCTAAAAAAAATATATTATAGCATTGGAAAAGGTGCAGAAAAGGGCAACTAAAATGGTTAAGGGAATGAACACCTTCCCTAAGAAGAAAGGTTAAAGAGGTTAGGGCTCTTTAGCTTGGAGAAATGACGATTGAAGGGTGAAATGATAGAAGTTTACAAAATTATGCATGGAACAGAGAAGGTAGAGAAAGAAGTACTTTTCTCCCTTTCTCACAATACAAGAACTCATGGGTATTCAATGAAATTAATGAGCAGTAGGCTTAGAAGAGATAAAAGGAATCACTTCATAACCCAAAGAGTATTTAACACATAGTACTGACTGCTGCAGGAAGTGGTGGTGGCTACAAGCATATACAATTTCCAGGTGGGATTGGATAAACACATAGAGAGGAGGTCCATCAGTGGCTATTAGCCACAACGTATGGAACACTATGTCTGGAGCATTGATGCTCTGTATTGTATGTGTGTGGGGGGGCAACAGTGGGGAGCTTCTGGAGTTTTGGCCCCACCGGTGGACCTCCTGATGGCACCTGCACTTTGGCCACTGTGTGACACAGACTGTTGGACTGGATGGGCCACTGGCCTGATCCAACATGACTTCTTTTATGTTCTTAAAATAAAATTTGATGGCTGATGATGCCAAGTCGAACTGAATTTTGTGGGTTGGATCTGGCAGCTCTATTCCAATATTGATGACACTCCCTTGTATCCCCTACACCATACCCCAACACAAACAGTCCTCCTTGGATGCTAAGAAGCCCTTCAGAGCTGCAAGATCCAACCCCATGACTTAAATTGTATAAATGTAGTGAACTGGCACAATGTATCTCAATTTTATGTAATTTATTCTGTAATTCCAATTATGTAGTAACAATTAGTTTTGTCTTGGAGAGTCATGCAGTAGAGGCTTCTGCCGGATGGTACACTGCCCCTGAACATGGTGGTTTTGTTTGGGGCTGCCGCAGCTACAGATTCTTACTAGACCTTGCTTCTGTGAATTTCTCATCCCTGTTTTTATACACACACGACTTCCCTGAGGCTGATCTGCGTGTTGCGGGGAAAAGTAGTTTCTTTGGTTTTGTGCTTTGATATATTTTTTTTATACACCCCTCCGGGTGCCATTTGTTTTTGGCTGAGAATGCAGCTTATAAACACTCTAATAAATAAAATGTTGCCTCTTCTAATCCTAGTGCCAGTTGGTTTTATTGGATGGCTCCGACATCAAGAGTTTTGAGAGTGAATAATGTATCTCTGCTTGCCTCTGTTAATTGCCCTCCCTTTTCCTGTATTCCTTAAGATGCATTGGGCTTGCTTGTTGATGCTCATACTTTTCAAAATATGATGCAGACTTTCTTTTTCTTCCATTCCCTTCGGCAACTTAACTTCTTCCTCAAAGCCCTGGCCTTAATTTCTTCCTAACAGGGCAAGATGCTGGGAGATCCATTATCAGAACTTCTGTGCCTTATTTAAACAGAAAAATCAGTCATACGGGGGTCTCCTTTGGACTGGACCAGTGATGGGACCGGAGGGGGTGATGGTGGTTTTGATTAGTGTAACAAGAGAGAGAGGAAGAAGTGAGCAATGACTCATACCCTGCCACATATTTTGTTAGTCTTTAAGGTGCCACTGGACTGTTGCTCTTGTCTACTGCAACAAATGGGGGAAAAATAGAACAGTTAACCTCCTCTCCCCAAACTCCCCAAAAAGTTAACCTCCTCTCCCCAGATTTGGGGCTCATGGGGCTGAGGTTGTAAGTTGTGGGGGATCTACCAAAATTAGATCAGGGGTCCCCAACATTGTGTCCCTAGGTGCCATGGCTCCCACCGACATCTTTCCTGTTGCCTGCCAAGTGTTTTTAGGAAGTGGGTGGGGCTAGGTGACAATTTTGCCCCTCAGGGCTTTTTATTAGCCACTGGAGATTTGAGAGGCTGTGCAGATTTTTTTAAAATGTTGCTTTGGCAGCTGCTGCTACAACAGCACAAGGATCTTCATTGTGAGTGACTGAAGGTAAAATGGGGCAGCCATTTTGTGACTCCTGAACTAGATTAAACACTGAAGGTTTCATTCCTGACTGAAACCAAGCTTAACGGTAAAGGTAAAGGTTCCCTTGCTCGAAAGCCAGTCGAATCCGACTCTAGGGTTGCGGTGCTCATCTCCGTTTCAAAGCCGAAGAGCCAGCGCTGTCCGAAGACGTTTCCATGGTCATGTGGCAGGCATGACTAAACACCAAGGCGCACGGAACGCTGTTACCTTCCCACCGAAGTGGTACCTATTTATCTACTTGCAATTTCTTGCTTTCGAAGTGCTAGGTTGGCAGGAGCTGGAACTAGAGACGGGAGCTTACTCCGTCATGCGGCACCCGGGTCTCGAACTGCTGAACTACCGACCTTCCATAGCCTGCAGTTTAGCGTCTTAACCACTTGAGCCACCGCAGCTTAAGAATGTGTAATTCAGTGATATTCCACTTAGTGACTCAGGAGCCGCATGTGGCTCTTTGACATGGCACCTGTGGCCCTTCTGAGCCCTGTTCTCCATTGTTGCACCCATTCCCATGTTTCAGGAAAGTGGGCAAGGCCCTTGCCTGGTGGGGCTTGTGGTTGGCAGGTAGTTCCCACCTTGAAACAGCTACTGCTGAAGGAACTGATAGGCTGCAACCAATGCTCCCTCTAAGCTGTGGAGCCTTGTGAGGAAAACTTCTGTTTTGTGAGCTACTGGCATTAAAGTTGTGAATAAGCGATTTGGCTACTGCATAAATCATTTTGCTCTGCGGCCATCCTTCCTGAGCTAGGACAAAAATGTGTGAGCTGGAGGCTAAAAAGCTGTGAGCTAGCTCACCCTGTCTCGGCTTCGAGGGAACACTGGCTGCAACCCTCCCCTGAGGTATAGGCCTCAAGCCTAGGTTGGAAGTAAATGTGGCTCTTTTGGTGGATGATAATAGCAAATGTGGCTCTCCATGAGCCACAAAGCCCTGTGCTCTTGATGTCCTACTGGCATAACTGAGCTGAGCACATTCTTCCCATGTGTCTCTCACCTTCCCCTGTGTCAAATTTTACCCTGTAAATTCCTTGGGGCAGGGACTGTCTTCATTTTAGTGCTGTGTGGAACTCCATGAACAGGGATTGCATAATCTAAATAGTAAGCCATCCTCATAACAGGAAGAAAAGAGTGGTTTGCCACAACAGTGTGTTGCTCCCCCCCCCCCAAGCCATCTAACCATTGCCTACATCTTTCAGGTGATGCCGTGCGTGAAGATCAGAAGGTGAAGACTCAGTGGCCACGGTCAGCAGATGAACCAGGAGTGTACATGGCACAAACAGGTAACCATCTCTGTGGGAAAGCCTTGGGGAGGCATTAGAAATCGTCCAAGCATGCTCAGCAGATCTTTTCCAGCAGCTTTTATTGGTGTGTTTTTTTTAAAAAACCAGAATATTAGAAAAACCATAATACTACAAAAGGAGGAAACCAGGGTTGCCAAGTGGAACTTATCTTGGCAGCGGGGGACTCCCGGATGGATCCCAGAGCACGCGCCGCACATACGTTACCAGGAAGTGACATTATGACGCCGGGCATGCTGGGGGCGGGGCCATGGCCATACAAGGGAAAACCATAGAGTTTTCCCTTGTATGGCCGTGGCCCCGCCCCCGGCGTGCCCGCGTCACTTCTGGGTGACGCACACGTCGGGGAGGAGTTCCCCCCGGGGCCCGATCCAGCGCTGCCGGGGAACGGGCCTCTGGGAAACTCCCACCCCCCGGGGGGGACTTGGGATCCCTAGAGGAAACAGGGTTTTTTCTTTCTGATTAAATATTAGAAATACTGTCTATTCTATTTAAGTCTCCATTTAGGGCCATGATTTGATTTGATTTAAGTTCATTTATGCTCCACTTTCCCCCTCAATGGGATCTGAAGTGGCTTTTGGTATTCTCTCCTCCATTTTATCCTTGCAACAACCCTGTGAGGTAGGTTAGGTTGAGAGGGTATGACAGGCCTGAGGTCTCCTAGCAAGCTTCCCTGGCAGAGTCGGGATTCAGACCCAGGTCTCCCAGGTCCCCGACTCTTACACAGCTGATGGAGTTGCCATCAAGAAAGACTTCATTGTAAGCTACCTTGGAGGCTAACTGGGGGAATGGCACGTCATTATTTATATTTTAAAATCAATATGATAAAATTTCACCTAAAGTGAAATAGAAACAAAGTTGGTGAATCCTCTCTGGATACATGGAAGGCATTTTGAGAGAAGCCTGCAGAATTTTGATACAATTTTGAGAATTTCTCCAGGGGCCTCTGCGCATTTCTAAGTGATCACCAGATTTCACCTAAAATGAAGCAAATGTGAAGATTCCTCCTCAGATCAAAATCCCTGAAGCATCTCTCCTTATATATAATTGAATAGTGGGTGCCAAAGTTCTAATTCTAAAATGCACTCCCTTAGTGTATGGCTGATGGCACTGCTCCTCAGCATATATCGCCACCAATCAGAAGGCAAAGCCTGGGTCCCGCCCACACCACAACTGCTGCGACAACCTGGTCTTTTGCATATGGAAGCTGATTGGACTTCACTCCATTCCACACCTCAAACTCTCCCCCCCCCCGCAAGGCAGTTGGAATGTCAGTTGCATATGGAATCTGCTGTATTCTGGTGGTGTGCAGGTCCCAGATTCATGTTTTAAAAGCAGACTGACACTGTTTGCCCAAAGCCAGAGCACTCTCCCAGAGCCTCTTTCTAGATCCCGTTGTATTTATTCCCACAACGGGCCTTATTTCTAGTTTTGAAAGAAAGCAAAAGACATCTGATTCGGTTAGCAAAATATTTCACAGGGGTTTGTTTTTAATGTCTAGTTCTAATTGTAGTTAATGCCGCTAGTATAATTAATTGTAGATAAAGCTGTTACTTTTGAGGGACTGGAGGGAAGTGGAAGAAGGGCTTTTATGTGATTCCTTCCAGTGATACCCTGTGCCCCCTGTTCCAGGGGTTGGGTTATCCTGTATTAGAAAGGGTGACAGGTTAGGGAGCCCCATTCCATTATCCCCAAACACATAACTTCGTTTTAATCATTGGAGTTAATGGCATTCACATACTAGCTCCTGATGACCCCATCTTGTCTAGGATGTGGAGTGAGCCCCCAGCTGTGTCCCAGATTGCAGCCAGTTTTGTATTCGTCCTATAAAACTTAGTAGGAATCACTGGATCATGAGTTGTCCACTGTCTGCCCATTTCATTCACATCCACCCACCCCCTCAGCTTCTTGCTTCCCAGTTATTTATTTAGGGCACACTCAGATATGATAGAACCTATTATTTGTTTGTTTGTTTGTTTTATTATTTTCAGTTTGTATCCCACCTTGCCAGAGAACCTAGGAAGGAGCTTCTGTATAGACAAAAAAAATTTAGCTAGAGGATTTGGGGTTTTGTCAGTATTTGTAGAAATCTGGAGGTTCTTAAAGAATAATGGCTTCTGGAGTGGAGGAGCTTGCCAGATGTTCTGCCTGGCATTGGGGCCTAAGTGTGGGACATGCTATCCATCAACTTCTCTGCTAGCCCTAATAATCACATGCATTTTAATTAAGATGCAGCCTCCGATGACTGCGAAAGCGGCATCTCATCTTCCATCCCCACTGGTCCCCTGAGCGCCATCATTTTCGTGGTGGCAGCAAATTGCAATGATGCAGAGCCGGCCCCACTTCTTCTTCTGTCCCCACCCCCCTTCCCTGATGCAACTGAGTTTAATTTGCGCCGTTTATGCATTCTCTTTGCACCTTCCTTGGAGACCCATAAAGAAAACAAATGTATTAATTGTTGAGTTCGTATGTATTTATTTAGCAAATTTGTCTGGCTTAATGCGAACGCCAGTCACTTCCCCTCTCCCCCATCCCTTCTCCTTGCCTTTGATTTATGTTCTGTGGGCCACTCCATGCACACAGAAAGACAAACACAGGAAGGATCCGGGAGAGTTTAAAAGGATCCACTGTGGCACTTGTGCAAATACAGATTTTGGCGAGCCTTGGGTTTTTGCCATCGGACCTAGCATGGTGCAGAAGCTAGAATATTTTGCTCAGGCATTCAAGATCCTGTCCCCAGTTTCAGATCTCTGCTCAACCACTAAGTTTATAAAACTGCCTTGGGCAGCAAGTAATTATCTCAGAGTCTCCCCCCCCCTCCCCGGCACACACACTAAATGCTTGTGTAGATTTTCAGACAATAGCAAGCCAAGGGCTAACTGGAACAGTTATTGGAACTTTAAAATAGGATGGAAAATAATTCTGAACATCTGTACCTGGCTGGCCTGGAATAGTCCGCAGCAAAGAGAGGGCTTGAATCAGTATTCTTCAGTCCTCATACTTCACAGAACAAGATTCTGATGGGCCTTTAGGAGGAAAGGCCAGTGTGGTATTGGACACTTCTTTGCAGCCTTGAGGACTAGAAACTTGCAATATGAAACAGAAAGATGCCTGTCTCCTGCCAAAGACACTAGTTTTTGGAGGGAGACCTTTCCTTATAGAACCATAAGATTGGAAGCGGCTACCCAGATCCCCAGGTTTGTGCTCTTGATGTCCTTATTTATTGATTTGATTTGATTTCTATCCCACCCTCCCCGCAAGCGGTCTCAGGGTGGGTTACAATCACACAGGAGTCATGACAATGACAGTATATAAATTAAGCAGTTGAAACAATGTCCATCTCAATTAAAACAACAGCAAAACAGTAATCAGAGTGGGAATGCCTCAACAGAGATACTCAGTTTGGGCTATTAAAGAGCCTGCATTGTCAGCAGGGAAAGCCAGAATAGATTTGGATGTCCGTTGCCTCCTCTGAAAGCTCAGTGGAACGAGCTCTGTTTCACAGGCCCTGTGGAATTGTAACAAATCCCGCAGGGCCCTGATCTCAAGTGGGTGTTTGTTCCACCAGGCTGGGGCCAGGGCAAAAAAGGCTAACTGGACATCCTTGGGGTTGGGGACAACGAGAAGCCATTGGTCAGTTGAGCACAATACTCTATGAGGCATATATGGGGAGAGACAGTCCCAGAGGGCTTTAAATGTTAGCACCAGAACCTTGAACTGGATATTGGCAGACAGTGCAGTTGATGCAGCACCAACTGAATGTGAGCCCACACAGGCATCACTGTCAGCACACGTGCCACTAGTTGCAGTTCCCAGGTCAGATTCAAGGGCAGCCCCACCCACCCCAAGCAAGTTAGGATAATCTTGCCTGGAAGTGACCATTGCATGGATCACTGTAGCTAGGTCCTGGGACGTCAGTTACTCTACCAGTGGCAGATGATTAAAGGCCAGTCAAGCAACAGTGGCAACCTGGGCCTCCATTGAAAGGGAGGTGTCCAGGAGTACCCCTAGGCTGTTAACCCTCAGCGCTGATATAAGCAGCATCCCTCCGAGGACTGGGAGCTGAATTCCCAATTCTAAATCCCCATGACTCTGGTACAGGACCTCTGTGTTCACTGTCCAACTCTGCTGGGGTGGAGTCTGGCCATCCGTCCATCAGCAGATTGAGCTGGGTATCATCAGCATACTGATGACAACCCAGCCTATGCCTCCAGCCTAACTGGGCAAGGGAGCACATGTAAATGTTAAACAACATAGGGGGGGACAGATAGTCCCCTGTGGCACACCACATTTAAGTGGGTTATGCTGGGACAATTCTTCCCCAAGCACCACCCTCTGTCCCTGACCATGAAGGAAGAAGGAAAGCCATTGTAAAGCAGTCCCCCATATCCCAATGTGAGCGAGATGGTGGGTCAGAAGATTGTAGTTAACCGTGTCGAATGCTGTCGTTAGATCAAGAAGCAACAGCAGCACTGGCCCTCCTCGATCCAGATATCTCTGGGAGTCATCTGTGAGAGTGACCAGTGTGGTCTCCGCTGTGTGGCCAGGGTGGAAGCTGGACTGGAATGGGTCCAGGATAGATGTATCATCCAAGAAGGCCTGGAGGTGCTCCACCACTGCTATCTCCACCACCTTGCCCAGAAATGGTAGAATTGAAACTGGGTGATCGTTTGTAAGGACCACAAGGTCCAGTGATGGCTTTTTCAGGAGCAAACGCACCACTGCCTCTTAGACCGGTTGGAAAGTTCCTTGATGACAGGGACAAGTTGATAATATCTCCCAAGGAAGTCTGAACATTCTCTTAGCAGGCTTTAATCAGCCATGAAGGGCACGGATCAAGGGGGCAAGTGGTGGGCTTCACGGCTATCAGGATCTTGTCAACTTCTTCCAGGGACAGCCAACTGAAATGGTCCCAACCCGAATCATAAGACAGGCAAGGGGCTTCCAGTTCCATTATTGTTTCAATTGTGGCTGGGAGGTCC